GTAACCTAACGGATTCGCGGGTATCGGCGTCGAAACGTCACCGCGGCGCACGCGATGACGCGTTGTTATTACCGTCGCAGACACGATTCGATAATCGTTGACGACGGTACACAACGATAACGATAATAACACGAGCGCGAAATACGAACGCGCGCGGCGCCGACGAATGTCAATTTCGCATCGCGCACCGCCCGGGCGCCCGTCGCAACGTCGTCCGTTCGTTTCCCGCGCGTAAACGCCGGGCGGCGTCGCAGTTTGACGGCCGGCAAGGCCGGCCGACTGTCGGTCGCGTCGGTTGCGCGCGCGTCGCGGACGATTACAGTGCGGTCGGCGGACGCGCGTTTGTCGCGCATTTGGCGGCCGTACCCCGGGCCGTTCGCGTGTTTGAACGGTTGAAAAATATCGATTTTTTTTTTTTACGGCGCGGCGGACGAAACGGTTTTTTTTTTTTTTTTCTACTGTCCAACAGTACCGCCAATAAAATCACCCGTCGACCGCGCGACACTCGAACGCTGCCCGCGGTGTCGTTGCGGCCAGCCGTACGCTCGATTACGTTACGGGGCCAGGGGGAGGGGGGACTTGTTACTGTTTTTTTTTACGGACGGGCGTTTTCGGAGCGTACACGACTCTTTTGGTTGTTTTTTTCCTCCCGCGGCGAAACCATTGCGGCGCACGAGGACGATTGGTTTTCCCGTACATTCGGAACCGACAAAAACCGGAGTGATTGTAAACAAACCCGTTTTCCGATTTCCGTTTTGAAAAATTATTCGATTTCTCGCGTACTTGTTTGCTATGTTTTGTTGTTTTTTTTTTTCGTGAAAATTCCAAGCGCGAGTAAATTAACGTAAGCTCGTCGTGCGCTCTGACGAAATTAACTAAAAAAAAACGCAGAGAATTATAGAAACAAAAAAAATGATGTACAAATATGCTTTCGGTATTCAAAAATCGGGTGAGCAACAGCAGGGTTATTAGTATGAAATGCCATATTCGTCCGTAAAACTGGCCGTACCACGTCCCCCCGAGCGGGTATCGGGCGGCAGATCAGTGGAAAAGTCTTGTTGTTCGTTCTCCGTGGACCCTCGATGTGTCCATAGTCTTAGCGTCCCCGAAAGTCGCGCCTATGCCGGTGTCTCGGTCAAATAGTTAAATATTAACAAACGAGAGTGCAGCGTCCACCCGAGAGGTTTACCCGTATTGGCCGGTCTCGCCCTGATCAACGCGCAACGTATCGAAATCGCGTTACTTAGAAAGTTAGATCAAAAATCGTAGAGTTCGGATTAGAGTTTTGATAAAAATAACGTAATTTAAAGAGCGGAATATTTCCAACGGATGTACGTAATTTTTTTTTCATTAAAAACCTATCATTCAACAAAGTCACAGTTTATTTAAAAAAAAAAAAAAAATTGAAACTTAGCGAAAAAAAAATATTCTCCCGTTTTAAATCGTGTTATTCGTGTTGAAACTGTACAGATTCCGACCCGAACGTCGCACAGTTTATATTAGTTACGTGATTTTTCTACGCCGCCCGTTAAAATTCGACGGAGACAGTGTACGTGCGGACATCACATCCTCTAAAACACTAAACCGATTCCTACGCGTAGACATCGCATTGCACGTCGGATAGCACATCGCTTTTGAAACACAATAAGTCACCTATATGACCTTTGTCATTGTTCATTAAACGTCTGTCGGTGCGCTTTCTGACGAATCTCCGATACTTCGCCCTCTTTCGGCGACCCGCAGCCAACAAACGGTACGGTATTTCAATATAAATATAATGTTATTGAATTGTACATAAAATACGGCCGCAGTAAGAGCGCGCGCCTAATGGCTTGTATAGAGTTTTTTAATTGATCGTTGTGCGGTTATAGAAACGTTTAAGTGCAATTTATCGCACTGTCGTATCCAACAACACGGTCGGTTTTAACGTAACGGATAGGTATTTTCTGTAATAGTTTAACAACATTATGCCGTCGAACGTGTGTAAGTCATTGCGATTGACTTAAGGTTGATTTTTTTTTTTCGTTTTGTTAATTTTATTCGCGTTGTAAAGTTACGTCCTATCGTGAAAATGTTATGTGAACAACAAGTAGGTATGCACGGTTTACTTGCATTGTAACTGTCCGAAACGCTGACCGGAAAACAATAATAATCATTATTTTCCAAGTAGCTCGTTTATCGAACAGTATTATGGTTATGATACGTGTGTTATTATTATTCGTATAGATTCACGATATTGCGGATTAGCGTTTTTTAACAATAGTGCGTGTTTGACCACTAGATGGCAGCGCACGTTTAATTTATTTCACGTTTTCATATTTTATTTTCACGCCGACGTCCGACGACGATTGCCATAATACTGGGAAAACTAACGATTCACGGATGTACACGGGTGTACAAACATTGATTGCCTGCAAACAACATTTAATATTTTTACTTTTTTTTCCATGTTATTAAATAAATACGTTATAAATGAAATGTTTACGAGATTTACCCTCAAATCACCCGAAATGATTCAAAATTTAAAAACTTAACCTAAAAATTAAAAACCTAACCTTAACTTGCCTTCCCTCTCTAAATTGGAAAGTTGAAATTGCTTGCGTGAGAACGTAGTGCAATAATTTATGAATTGACAATTACGGCTATTATAATAATTTATTTCGCCATTGCGGTCGCGGTTTATATAATTTATCTCCAATATTGTTTAAAACGTGAGTTAATTTTTTTCGGGCTTAAATGCTGACCGTTAGGTTAGGCTAATTAGGAATACATAGAATATAAAAGTCTGTTAACTGTCTTTTTAAAATTGTATCGAATCTTTTTATTTTTTCATGACGATCTTCAGCTTTAATAGCCCTATATCCCTTTCCTTTCTCCATTTGCACCCATATGTATTGCTTTGCCCAAGATATCGGTTGTTTTATTAAATTATACACACAACACAATAATACTAAATTTTGGAGCATTTTTGATTCGGTGTAGGTACGGACGTGTCTGATTTCGATATCAAAAGATTTCAGTCGATTCTGAATATTCGTCCGTTTTGAATCCGCTCAAGTTTGAACAACGACAGTCGCTGAATAATTTTCCAGTATAAGTATAGTGTTTTAGAGAAACTTCTATTAACTCGCAGTTACTTTTTTTTTTTTACAAGTATAATAATATATTATATTATAGATGTCAAAAGAAATAATAGACATATTTGCATCTCTGTCATCAAGGTATACCTTGGTATATCACCAATACCTGCAATAATGATATTATTTTTTTTGTTTTGATCGTATTAACTCTTTTTTTTCATCTATATCACTGAGGTAATTCATAGATCAACAAAAGTAAATCGATTTTCGTACTGAAAATAACTCTGTTACAATTACCTTACCCTCCCTAGTATAGGACTTGAATACGGAAGGGGAAAATAGCTTATTATGTATACTATTTTTAGACCGGGAGTCTAATTATACATTTATATGCAAAGTGTCTGCTCTATCCCGTATAGTTTGGACGTGAAGTGGTGACGAACGTACGTCCGTCCGAAACGAACGTTCGCATTTCTTATACTGTTCGTAGGATAGTAACTGTAAATAACGAACCGTTTTTTCTATAAGTTCTATAAATCGAGGCGGCCCCACGACTGCAGCAGTAGGTACACCTTTGATACTCTACTGCATGTTATTGAAAATCGCGAGTAACTCATCCCGTTTTCTCGGGTCTATAATAATAATATAAATAGGGCTATGGATTTAATGCATTGAAAACACTTGAAAATTCACAAAAAACACAAAACAAGCAATACAATACAATATGCGTTTGAATTCTCTAAAAGGGTTTTTAATTTAATCTGTATATTTATTTAATAAAAAAACAAAAACCATTAATTTCTTTAAAATAAATTATAAAAATGTCGATCGAATTTGAATGTTGAATAAGTTGATTTCTAAAATATTGCTTTATTTTATCGAATCTTTAATTTTACCTATAACGCCGTATACAGCTTGTGTAGAATATAATTTTATAAAATATACATTCGACGTACCCGCGGCCCGTATAAAAAAAAAAAAAAAATAAACGTGTACAGATGTCGAATCGGCGGAATTCGATTGAAAACACCGGATAATATGACGTTCCAGAAGTCCGTAAAATCACGTTGAAAGTTAAATACGTCGAAAAATGCGAAAAAATAAAAGTTTCACATAATTGAACTCGTCGTTACGCGGTGTTTCGAATTGTGTATACTCGGAAAGCTATGCTACTAAGTTTCGCTAGAAGTAAAAAAAAAAAAAAAAATGCACTTTCCTAAAAAATCCGCGGCCCTAACAACAATAATAATCGCGGCAGGTGTGACGGAGACGGAATGAGATGGAGCGAGAGAGTGACGATACCTCGCTATTATATATGTGTATATATTGTCGATATTGCGGGCAACGATAGTGACGCGGAGACGACGACGACGACGACGGAGAGAGAAACCGTGTACCTGTGTGTATAGATATATATGCGTATAATAATATAATAATACGGACGAGAAAAAGGAAACATAAATAATGGGTCCGGTTTATTATTATACCTGTATATATATATTTTTTTATTATTTTTTTTTTTTTTGGCTGTCGCGGGGGCAGCGCGGCGAGCATTATCATTATTATTGTGCGCGCGCGTTTCGCGGGAGAGGGGCTCGCCCGAGCGCGTGCCCTCGGCCGGACCGCGTCTCGTCGGACGGCCGCCAGAGATCGGTCGCCGCACGGCAGTCTTGTAGCCGGAGCCTCGCACGAGAGACTTGAACGGTCGGCCACGCGCTGCACCACCGACGCCGCCGACACGCAACCGACGAGCCCGCGAGAAGACCCCGCCGTCGCCGACGTGACGCCCCGGCGTGTATCGTTTAGACGATATTATTATTATTATTATTTTTTTTTTTTTTATTTTTTTTTATTTTTTTATTTTTTTTTTTTTTTTTTTTATTACGTTGCGATGAATTTTGACTGTTATCTGCGCGCCAAGTGAAAACGATCGTCGGATATTCGTTTACGATTATAATATTTTCTGTACATTTTTCATATCGTTACTATTCCGGAGACGCGTTTTCCCGTGAAAAACGAAGCAGTCGCTCCGCCGACGGCGCGCCCCGGAAAATGGCCGAGTTCGACGCGAACAACAACAGCGCCGCTCCGTCGCCCGCCGAGAAGACCCAAGAGAAATACTCGCTGCGACCCCGCGCCACGCTGAAGCGCGAGGAACCCGACGACGACCACGAAGACGGCTGGAGACCCACGACCCGCGGCCGGTCCGCGAAACGCCGGCAAAAGCCCAAACCCCTCAGCAGGTACCTATTGTATATTACGTTTATACTTACACTGTGTTTTAGTTTTGCTTCATCGCCGCCCCATTTTAACGAAGTATACTCTTTACGTCCGTCGATTTTTGTGCGTTTGAGCGTGTTTGTTTGCGAACGCGTTTTTTTTTTTTTTTTTTAATATCGTAATTTCCATACGTTCGTCTGTATGTACCGCAACGATAATACAAACGCTATAGGTTTTTAGAGGTATCGAGAAAAAAAAAAATAAAAATCATCAACAATTTTCACCGATTAAAAAAAAAAATATCAAAGAACTAGTTTTAACAATAAAACGATATTTTATTCCCCTTCGGACATATCTGTGTGTACAATAAATTATTATATCTTTGAAGAGTGTCCGCCCGAAATTGTGTTGTTTCGCGGCTGCTCTGCTGTGCGCAGAACTCGAATATTATACGGTTTAATATTGACGGCCGAGAAACGTTAACTATATTGTAAAGAAGTCATCACCTTTTTTTTTAAACATTTTTATTGTGTATACGTGATGGATACTAAATAAATTCAACACGAAATAAAAAAAACAATATGAAAAAAAAATTTGTTTTATAAAAGTATTTGGTTTTGGTTTTTTTTTTTTTTAGTAGGACGGCCAAATTAAAAAAATGAAAAAAAAAACAATATATCGCGAGGAAAAAAATTTTAAACTCGTCTTAGATCAATAGGAATTTTTTAAGAAAAAAAAATCTTTACTTTTTGAAAAACGTAGTTACATTAGACCGCGATATAATATTACAATTCCAAACGCGTATTTCGCGCGGGGAGTTTGAATTTTTTTTTTATGAGTTATGAACAATTTAAATTTAAATATTGTGTATATAAAAATACTTTATATAAGTATTATGATATTTTTACGATTTTTTTTTTTTTCATATTATCCGTGATTAACAATGCAGTAATATCGGTAAAAATATTATGAATGCATTTTTTTTTTCTTCGATAGCAATGCGAAATTAATTATGAATACTTCAACTTCGAGCTATAATGCCGTAATGATAGCGTCGTTCGAAAAAAAAAAAAAAATTAAAAATTAAAGATCGAACTTTGTTTCAATCATCGAAAAACATTCGTTACGCTATTGCGCGGACTACACACCTCGTTGTTTTTTTTTTCGTCCGTATCGCCAAGGTAACAAGGTAAACCGACAAAAAAAAAAAAAAAAAATCAGAACTCCGTTCCCGAAATACCGATAACCCCGCGTCGACCTTTCCTCTAGTAATTGAATACGGTGGTGGGGTGGGGGGTGGGGGAGAGAAATATCGTAAATGTTATTTCTGGTTTAGAACGCGCAAAGTTTCGGCCCAACGCGTTCGGCAGATCGGACGAGAACCGCTGAAACAGACGTCCGTCCGAGCAAAAATTATTGTCATTTACAACGTTATCAGTACCCACTGCGCCTTATATTGTTTTATTCGTGTTAAATTGTTCGAATCGCTGAAAACAATCGGGACTGTTGTCGATTTTACATCGTATTAACGTAAATTTAACATGAAACGTCCGCCTGAATCGACTTATTAATTATACGTTTATATCCACGTAAACGTAATGCAGTAGGAGGCATTGATGTAACGTTAAAACTATGTTGAAGTAGAACGATTATACGAACATTGCACACCGATTGATCGTAAACATCCATTTAACATGTACAACAAATGTTTCAAAAACGAAAATACGAGAAATATTCTTGGCTGAGCGAGTATTTTCTTTTTTTTATTTTTAAATTTGCGCCACACCGCCGGATGACCTCCCCGATCATATTGCGATTCGTTGTTGACCGTTTTATTTTCACTTATCGAACATACTCGTCGTGCGAATTGTATAGATTGTTGGTTCTCTTATCGAATAGAGAAGAAAAAAAAAATATATACAAGTATAGGTGTATTTTTCATTTAATCGTATACACGTTATAATGGTTGTACATTTTTTTATTTATTTTAAACGCGAGCATTGGCCCTTACATATTTTTCTTTTCGCTTGTTTAACGGAAATTTAACGAACGCGCGGCACTATAAGCGCAGGCATAATATTTATTTACATTATGGTTATTGTTTATTGTCGGACTAGAAATTACGCTTTCGTTTCGAAAAATTTCGGTAAATCCGTTTTAATGCAACGGCATTTTCGTTTGCGTACGAATTATTAAAGAATTACGTAGACTTTGTAGACTTTGGTTAACATTACCATACGCGTTTTCTTCTTGCCACCGCGGGTCTCGTACGCGCTCGTCTTTTTCGCGACACGATTCTCTGTCTGTCTAACTGTCTTGCTCTACGTCTCTTACCGCATGAAAACATTTTCGCAAAACTGCCGCAGACGTCCCCTATATCGTATTATTGCTCTTTTAATGCTATGCCGAAGTTTTCGGTTTTATACCGCATTCTGTGCCGGGTTCATAATACGCAACTGAATTATGACGAAAAATCTTTATTCGTTTGCCGTTAGTAAATTGTAACGGTTAAAAATATCTATTAAAAAAAAAAAAAACCCTAGTTTTAACAACTAAAAAATCGTATTAAATTAGCGCCCGGGATTAAATGATGCCTTTAAAACTTTCGAAAATTACTCTAAACAATCGTAAAATACGTCCTAAAAAAAAAAAAAAAAAAAAGTATTTCAGCTAAATAATGACCCGAAAACGACCGAATAATGGAAAAACAGCAAAATAATGCAATGTAAAAGTATCAACGTCGCAGACGTTGTTTGAGCCTGCGGGTTACGCACGGCAGTAAGACGTTAGACCACAAATCGAACGGTCCACGATCTGACGGGGGNGGGGGGGGGGGGGGGGAAACGCCCGAAAACCCGTCAGAGCGAATTTCACGAAACCGAAGACGACATTTCGAAAGGCCTGAATATTGTGTGACCGTCGATTGAGCATTGAGCGTGTATAAAAACGCGGTGGACACTCGATGAGACGTTAAGACAACGCGAAACCAACGTTTCACTTTTAATGCGGGTACGTATTGCGATACATCTGCGACGCGAATCGAATGCTACGATGCGCGCCTGTTCGCTCGAAATGCACCGCCTTATTATCGCCCCTTCCTTCGCGTCCATCCTGTACTCCGAAATGGAAAAAAAAAAACAAAAACACAACCTCTACGCCGCACACCGAAATCCGGCACTATTGCTTTTTACTATACGATTTTGAAAACAAATGGGTTTTTTTGTTCCACGTTTTCTTTTCGGTTCGGCCCGTAACGCGCGTAATCGAATACGACTAATCGCCGAGCGCATTAAGAGGACACCGCGCCCGAGGGCGGTGAATTATCGCCGCGATCGGATAGACGTTTACGACCGTCGCGGGAACGCGGCGTGATGCAACGCCGCGCCCGCCCGTCGCCAACGCTCGAGAATCCGGATCACCCGCGTGATTGCTACCGTCGTCGTAAACCGTAAATCCGCGTCTCGTCGGGCGCCGGCCGGGTACTGTGCGCGACTGCGGGTGTAATAACGACGTGCGGCCGGGAAGGAGGAGAGAAAAAGAAAAACGGATTTTCCGACCGAGAGACGGTTTTCGGCGCGCTTTTTCTTATTTTTTTTAAAATCTTATTTCCCCCCACCCTCCGGCCGCACGTCTTATTCGACCGGCGGACGGTCTTACCGCGGACAGACGTTCCGTTGTGCAGGTATCGCCGCGATACCGGAGCCCTGGACACCGCACCGGCGCTTTGGCACAGCCGGCGGCGTACCGTGACGCTGTTATTTGGAGACGCGTGTTTCGATGTTTTCTACGCGGCCGCGCGGACGCCAGGGTTGGCGATCCAGACCCGGTTTACGGCGGCACGCCGCGATTCGTGTACGGGGGTCCGCGACGTTTTCAACGGATCTGGCGATTTTAAATCTCGAGCTATTATACGAACTATCGTCAGCTGCCCGAACTGTGTTCATCTCAAATTGCTCGCGGTTTATTTTCGATTCGCGATATCCGACGCAATAAATTCGGTCGTTTTCGCTGGCTTGAGTCGTTCATTTTCTAAACGTCAAGCGTTCGAATTCACACCGGGCGCACGTTTGAATCGCAAGCGATTTTTCGATTGTTGTTCGGTTTTATAACCGACTTCCTCTCGGGGATTCGTATAAAACGTTCGCAATGATTTACGGTCGTCACGTTTAAACGATTCGATTCGATTCAATTACCGTGTTTAAAAAACGTATTATTTTTTTGGTTTTAATTAATCGGGTTTGGGGTTTGGGATTCGTCGAAAATCGGTAATGCTTTTTTCGTTTTTTTAGACGGGGTTTACCGTACGGATCGGTTACGCCCTCGCGGTGTTATTTACGTGGACACAAATATCATGAAAAGGTATTCCGTCGCAACAACGAAATGAGAAAACGCGTTCTCTTGCACATAAAAAAAAAAAAAAAATAAAAACTAAACGGGTAGAATAATGAAAAAAAAAAACAAAAACATTAATTAATACATTACGAGCGTATATATACATCCGATTGATCGAAAAATCGATAGTGTACCCTATCTTTATATAATAAAATATGGGCAGGTTTTAAAACAATTTTTGTTTTTAGGGGTTCGTTAGGGTTACGCCCTTTTAACGGCGAAGTTATTTATGGATATCGGTTTTGAATCGAAAACGAATCCGGGGTGGGCGCATAAAGTTATATTAACAATTTCCGTTGTTTGGTTTTTTTTTTTTTAAGATTCGGAACGTAGCGAGAAATTTATTGGTTTTACATTGATGTTTTTTTTTTTTAATTATTCTATGAGCAACTGTTCTACCAGAAATCTTGTTCTGATGCATCAACCGTAACATTTTTTCCGAAAGGAAATTTTATCTTGTTGAGAGGTTATTTTTTGATTTTCCGAGCGGTTTTCATAATAATTGGGAAAACAACTTAAGAAAAACGGGAACATGTACGTAAATGCATGAAAGGAACTTCGTTCTAAATCGTTTTCCGTTAGCAATGGTTTATCGTTGCGTGCAGATATAAATTAAATTCTCTTCTATAACTATTATTACCTCCCCGACTTCTCACCTACGACAGTGGTCCACCCGTCGTACGAAGTATGTCCGTTTATTATTATTATTTTTTCGGACCGACTAAGTTCCGACGAGGAAAGTATGAAAATTCCCAGTCTTACGATATGATTTGTGTGTGCTATACAAATCAAAACTGATATGACTCCGGTTTATGTTGAGCGATCGTACAGAACAAGAAAAAAAATAAACTAATTAACGCGTTAATAATTATTAAATAAAAACCGATTCGAGTAACTGTGAGTTAATAGTTAAAAATTTCCAAGAAAAATAATTACAACAGTTCAATCGAAAGTTATTGTTATTATTTTTATATTGGCGTTAACTACGTACTCGTGAATGTGTTTTGCAGTACTCTAATTTTTATTAGATACTTTACCATATCGTGTGCACAAGGCTCGCGGGCAACTTAAATTTTAACGAAATCGCTAATGCTGTTTGGATAACATNCCGACTTCTCACCTACGACAGTGGTCCACCCGTCGTACGAAGTATGTCCGTTTATTATTATTATTTATTCGGACCGACTAAGTTCCGACGAAAAAAAAAAAGAAAAAAACATAGCTACGAAACGCTCTCACTCGGACGCGAAGCCCCGTCGAAAATAAATATTTCCAACGCGCGTTGTCACTGGCGTACTATTATTTGAAATCGGGTACGTTGACTTTCGATTTCTGTGAAAAATTCTAAACCGCGTCGGGCACCTCTATCTACTACTACCAATACGACTACCACTACTACCGCTACTACCACTACCACTACGACCACTACGACCACTACGACTACTACTACTACTACTGCTTACCTCGTGTACCACCTCGCGCACACGTTATTAACACGGTCGTTTTTTATTATTTTTTTTTTCTTTTCTCATTTTCACCAGTCATCGTGAATAACATTAGAAATTAAAAGAACACGCGCGGGTGTATGCTTACTACTGCGCTTGTAATAGTTATGACGATGGCAATTATTATTACGATACAATTCTCCGGCACACGAACACTACACACCGTATACATAATATTATAAATTATGTTAATGAGTCGCGGTCTATTAGTCAAAAAACTCGGCGCGTTATAGTTACAGTCTGTCTAGTGGGAAACGGGACTGCGTGAAGACATTTGGGAACGGAACGGTCCTAATGCTCCGCGCGGTTCATAAACGGCCTCGTAACGACCAAATCGCGGGACGCGTATACGCGCAGAAACGACAAAAAAAACCCCGTGTATACGTTATAAGGGCGTGATAAAACGGAGAAAAGAGACATTTGGAAAAGGCGGTACGAATGGACGTTTGGAAAACGTGGACGGGCGCGGCCGAGTAATATCGTGGAGCAATTTTCGGAGTCTTATGCACAGTTGGCGCCGAAGTAAATAGGATCCGACAACGGACGAATAGTAGCCAGTTTCTATACGGCGAATACACGCCGCGGTACGTTGCGCGTATCACGGCAATTTTTTTTGCTTCCGCGCGTCCGTATCGCCGAGATAACCTAACCTAACCGACACGAATAGTTCCATGTCAGTACCGAAAATACCGACAACACCGCGCGGGCCCCTGTTTAGCGGTTGAATTCGGGGAGGCGGTAGGTATAGCCCACCCTTCCCCTCCACCACCAATAACAGTACGTCGTTGCCCCGGGTTCAGAACTACGTCCGTCGTAAGTAAAAACATCGTCAGTATTGGCGCGTAGATGTTACGGACGTCCGTCAAACGTTCGCGATTTCGCATTTATGATACCAACCGGATTTTCGCCAAACCGTTTTTAAACGTTAATTTTATTTATGTATACATGAAAAAAAAAAAATAAAAAAAAACCCGACGTTCATTCGCGCATTAATCCACGAGAAAAACGTATTAGGTACGCGGCGCGTTTTTTTTTCCACCGAGATTTTGTCGTTGCGCTCGCGACGTGAATACAAATCGATTTACCGTTTTGGGATCGCGCGAGCGGAGGAGCGTCGCCGCCGCCGCCGCCGTCGGGTAATGTTTTCGGATCGCTTTACTTGTCGGCCGTCGTTATTGAATCTTTAAAGTTTCGTTGTTTTTTTATTTTGTTTTTTATTACTCACAGAAATCCGTTTACTCGCGCGTATTTACGCGAGAATTCCTGTTCGATGACTGTAATACAGCGGTAGTCTCCGATTATGAGAAATAACATCGTTTTAATATACGTTACGGTGTGACTAATGAGTTTAGAGTGTTTTGTTCGGAATCGATTACGGGGCGTGCGGATTTATACGTACGGGCGGGCAAGGAAAGGAAACGAACGAAAATATAATTTGTTTTTTTTTTTTTTTTGTTTTTTTATTTCGTTCACCGGATATTCGCTACCGGAAACCGCGCCCGACGTCTCGGCGGTCGGAGCGAGTCGGATGTTTTCTGGTCGAAACAGCGCACGCGTTATAATAAAACCCATAGATTCCCCATCGCACCGCTTGGAATCTAAAACGCCGACGTCTTTTGAAACGGTTCGAGTCGAAAACGATTATCGATTAGTTTCGTCTGGGGAACACGTTCTTTTTAGTCAGATATCGAACGTGAGAAAACCTAACACAAAAAAATCAGGCTCTAGTAAGCGCACGCGCGCAATAACAGTCCTAACCCGCACAAACGCCTAACCGAACCTATTAATAACGGCCGTGCGTTTCTTTGCACCCACAGGTATCGGAGGAAGACGGCCAACGCGCGCGAGCGGAGTCGGATGCGTGAGATCAACGAGGCGTTCGAAGCCCTGCGGCGGGCCGTACCGCACCTGGCGGTGGACGCGCACAACGAGAAACTCACCAAAATCACCACGCTCCGGTTGGCCATGAAGTACATTTCGGCGCTGAGCGGCCTGCTGTCGGCCCCGGCGACGGCGCTCGCGACGCCGTCGGCGCAGTCGTCCTGTCCGGCGGCGGCCGCCAACGCCAGCGCCTCGGCGGGCCGCGGTCTGGTCGCCGGGGCGACAATCATGTCGTCGTCGTCGCCGTCGTCGTCCGTGCCGGTCGACCTGGCCGCCCTGGGCTGTCTGTCGCCGTCCACGTCCGACGACGTGGACTCGCTGCTCAGCGAGTACGCCACCGACCTGCTGGGCGGCGCCGGCAGCGAGTGTTCGTCCGCCGCGTCCACGGTCGGGTTCCTGGCCGACCACCATTCCGCCGCGTTCCTCCGCGACTTGCCGGGCGCGGCCGCCGCGTCCTACGCGCTGTCCCCGTCGTCGTGCTCCATGTCGGCCACCGACGTCATAATCGGCGGCGGCGGCGTCGGCGGCGGCGGCGGCGGCGGCTGTTTCCCGTCGCCGCTCCAATTGTCCGCGGACTTCCCGGTGGACGTGGCCGCCGCGTTCTTGCCGTTCGCCGACCACCCGCTGCCGCCCATCGACTTTAACGGCGACCCGTACATGTTCGAAGACAATTTCGCCTGCACCGAGTTCAGCTAGGCCGCCGTCCGATCCGCCGACGACGCCGGGACAAGGTGTGCCATATTAAATAGTGTAATTATAATTTTTATTTTTTAATTATTGTTTTACGACAGTCTGAAGAATTTAGCATTTTTTTTTTTACATTTTTTTTATCATTATTATTATTATTATGATTATTAAACTGCTCTTTTTTTATTTTTGTATTTTGTATTTGTATTTGTATTTTTTTTTTCGTACTTCTCCGTCGAGACCGCGTCATGTGATAATATAATAATTTGAATAGCGTATAGAAGTATGTGTAGTGTTATTGTAATAGTACCCCCGTCCCACTCATTCCCCTCAAGTGCGGCGTACGGTTTATGTGTATAAATCGTTTAGTTTCGGACGGACGGATTGAACCGCGAGAGTTTCCGGGAGAGAAAATCGAACGATCGTTTTTTCCGTTCGTTTAGTTAACGGTATTAAATTTTTTAATTTTTTTTCTTTCCGAACCATCGAGCTTTCCCGCACGCGGCGTTTCGGCGGGCGCGGACCCGTTCGGTTTTGTCGCATCGAATTTTCGCGTTCGTCGCGCGCCTTCCCGTACCGCTACATTACACACGATAATCGATTGGTGGGGTGGGGGGACGGGAAACAAAACCGAAATCCGACGGCGCCGCGGCAAACTGGTTATCGATTTTCAAACGCAAAACGTCGGAGCGCCCCGTACTGGTATCAGTTTTTTTTCTCCGGGTCCTTTTCGCACGCACCGTCACGTGCGCGCAGCGAATTTTCACTCGCGTCTCGAAACCGTAATGCGATAACTCGCCGCGGTTAAATGTAATTAGAAAAAAAAAGCCCGAGGAACGAAACGACAGCAACGAAGACGATAAAAAAAAAAAAAAAAAAAAAAAACCAAACCGAACACTACTTTAAACTTTTCGATTTGTCATTGCGTTCACGTATGCGACGCGACGAGAGCGAACAAAAAAAAAAAAAAAATGAAACATAAACATCTCGCGTACGACAAACGGGTTTATACGGTTCTGTACTATTTTTTAATACCCATGAGATTCGCCGTCGTTTTCGCGATCGTTTTTCGATTTTTATCATCCGTACCGTAGTTTTTTATTTATTTTTTTTTTTATCGCTTTTTGACGTTTCCTCTTTCCGTTAGACACGTGCGATCGTTGAACGCACGAAAATGACCCCCCCCCCTTCCTTCACCTCCGAAAATTGCGATCTTTTTTTTTCCTTACCCTCGGGCAATCATGTCGAAAAGCGTCGAAAATCGGCTTTTATGAAAAACAAACAAAAACCCGATTCTTTATTGAAATAACGATCGTTCGACGATAAAAAAAAAAAAAAAAAAAAAAAAAACGAAAATAAATAATCCGAGACTAACCGCACGAGGACGCGACCGTTTAAATATTGGCTCGGGATAAATAGGATATGGTAATATATTTTTATTTATTTTTTTTTTTTTTGATTTTTTTATTCACCGATTTCTCGTGGTTAACACGTACCCAGCCAATACGAATATTATCGCTGGGACACAGTTTTTTTTTTTTTTTTTTTGTTTTCTTTTATATTAATATTTTTCCGCTTTCGCAAATACCGCGACGTTCATTTACGTGTTTAGGCAATTTACTACGAGACATTTTTTTCCTCCTTTTGCGAGGTAAGGGGCGAGTTATTTCTTTTTACGAAAAATCGCCTTTCGCGAGAAAATAACTCAAAACATTTTGACGGATTACCGGGTTTTTTTTTATTAGGATCATATATTATTTTTTCGTGTTTATTTTTATTACTATCGTCTTGTCTTTGTTACCTTTATCGATTATTATTAAAGTTTATAATATGTGTATAATAGTTATTATATAATCTACATAATTTTTTATTACGTTAAGTTTTGTAAATATTCGCATAAAAAAATATCGATTTATATATAATATATTGTGCATATTATTATTATTTTTAATAAATTATTCATTATATTATAAACGTACACATTTGGAGTGTTTTTTTTTCCGGTGTACCAGAAAAGTATACCCGTGGTAGCCCGGCCAAATCAAAAGGTCGGTCACAAATAAAAACGAACCGAGAAAATTATAGCCTAAAAAAAAAAAAAAAACAAACAAAAAAAAGACCGGACGAAGAATTGGACAATATTTCCACGGCCGTATTTGATACGGCAATAAGTACTCGGACGCGGTGTACTGTTGATAATCTAATAAGTCGGTGTATACACGTGATCGTGTACCGAGTGGCCGCCGCGGCGGATTTTCAAAGTTTTTCTGATTCAGCGGTACTGAAAATTCTTATTTTATATTTTAAGGTTACACATAATATTATATCCATTAAGCTATTAATCTGTCTGTGGATAAGTGTATTTTTTTTAATAATAATCATAATAACAACAATAACAATGAGAACAAAACGTTGGCGGTCAATTTCGAATATATAAATGCAATATCGCGTTTCCAAAAAAAAAAAATAAAAAACAATAACAACTGTGCTCGTAACAATAACTTTAACACGCCTCGTGACCCCGTGTTGCGTAAAATGTTCAAAACGTTTTTTATCCCGACGCTTAGTGATGATCATTACGTATGATTTGGTTTCGTTTTTCCGATCTGCCTATGGCACGTTCTAATCCACAACAGTCGGTAAACACCGGACGTAGAACCGGACCGCGAGAACAGTGAAAACGGTGCCGAACGGGAGACGCGATCGACCGTCCCCGGATTTTTCACCGCGGCGCGCGTGTAGCGCGTGCGGTTACGCGTTAGCGGCGGACAAGCGGCGTGCGCCGAACCGGGAGAAAACCGAAAGTCGATGAGGGGTTGGTGGGGGGGGGGGAACGCTAACCGAACGGTCGCGCCGCGGCCCGGGCGCGCGACGAATCGACGACGAGCCGCCGGCGTAGCGTGCAAAACCGGGGGCAGCGGCGGCGCGGTGATGGCGCGGCGGCGCGGCGATGACAGACCGCGCGGGTAATTAATCGCGTTCGCTGTGCACGCCGCACCGCGCCGAAACAACAGGTTTTCTCCTCGGTCCTTCCGCCGTCCGCCTTCGCGTTGCATTTCATAATTAATATTAACCGCCGTTTATAGGAACGCGCGCGCGCGTAATATTCGACGGAATATTCACACCTTATAATACAATTTATAATAACGCTCATAATGCCGCGGCGGCAAGCCGAGGCGATTTATCGCGATCTACGTCGCGGTCCGTCGGGATCCGGCTCCCGACGGATCCGACGACCGTGACGCGTGCGGTTCGAGTGTAATACGAAAAAAATGAAAAATAAAATTGTTAACTCGTTTTCGACAGGTGGGGGCCGGTGACCGGGGTTTCTTAATACGCGTACGTTTCGTTTTTTTTTTTTTTTTGGTTGGCGTTTTCCATTTTTTACAATGCTAAAGCCCCGTTTCTCTTTCCCGTATATTTAATTACGAGATAATAAGCCGTTCGTTTGTACTTCGAGAAGGCGGTAATTTTAAAAAGGTCGACAAACGCTTCACGTATATAAAGTTCCTTTCGCGACGGTTCTGGGCCCCGTATACTTATTACGAAATCGATTGATAGCCGCGGAGAGAGCGAGAGAGAATTCGTTTGAATGAGATAACATACAACTCAATTGCGCGTCTGGGATAGCGAAGGAGAAGAGTTTAACGAAATAGATAACGAAATTATTAGAAAAAGATGGCCTAAAGATTCGTATGGCCAGGTATCGGCTATCTCTGTCCGTCAATATTGATATTAGACTCGACCCGGGGCAGGGGTGAGGAACGCGACCAATAATAATGGCCGAATAAAAAAGGAGCAGGTCAGAGGAAAATATGCGGCCGGACAAGAAAATGGCCAGTAGAAAATATGGCCGAATATACAAATTTCCAAGTAGAAAAAAACTGACCGAAAATAAAAAAAAAATGGCCAGATAAAAAAAATCGGAAATCTTTTCTATGGTCCTTATCACCCACAGTTATTATTGTATGCTATTACCGTCATCCCCTTACCATTTTGGTATATCGTCGGCTATCCCATAGAACCTGGTAGGGCGAATTTGTCGACATTTAGTTTTCAAGTCCGCCGTCGCATTTCCACGCTTGTCCCGTACAATTTGACAAAACCGGCTTACGAAGTGTGGGCTGGGTACCCGGCGACAAGGCCCTTTTAAGATTCGGACGTTCATCGAGCGTCTACTACGCGCGGGCTACTCGTTTCGAAGCGTTTCGCCGGTCCCCGGTAACCCGGTGTACACATTTAGAGCGCTCTCCGTTCGCGACAGCGCGGAACCGTCCGGAGGGACGACGCGACGCCGGTTTCAGCCCGTCGACGGATATCAACGCGACCGTCCGACGGCCGCCGGATGTGCCGCGTGTTGTTCGACTGGGGCCCACCTTTCCCCCGGCCGCAGTACCTGTTCCGCGTTCCCGGCCGCGCGGCAACGGGCGTCGCGTTTTTCCCGGCGGTCCGCCCGGCGCGCACTCGGCTGCCGAGCCGCCGGGAACGATACCGCGGGCCGGGTACGACGCGGTGCGTACCGCGTCGGTCGGAACCGATTAGTCGGCGGGCGGACGGACGGACGGACGCGACCGCGCGCTCCCGTAAATCATTGGATATTATTGTGCCCCGTACGCGGTAATGTTACGGGCGCTCGCGTCTCCGCGGGGACGCGCGCGCGATACGATAATTTTCTGTACCGCTGTGCGCGGGCGCGTCGGTTCTTTTGTTTTGCGCGTCGCCGTAATAAATCGTTGCCCGGTCGAACGAAAAAACAAAACAAAAAAAAAAAAAAAAAAGCCCACGGGTTTTTTTCTTTTCAGGAACAGACCGCGATTGCCGTTGTTGTATTTTCTCGTCGTCGCTGCGTACTATTACTATTACTATTTTTTTTTATCGTACCGCACAGACATCATAACGTNAAAAAAAAAAAAAAAAAAAAAAAAAAAAAAAATAAAAATAATGTTAATTTTTACCGCCGTCGCCGCGTAATAATAATAATATAACAGTACAATATATGCACACCGCCTACCCGCTTAACCATCAGCGAAACAAAAAAAAAAAAAGCCCACGGGTTTTTTTCTTTTCAGGAACAGACCGCGATTGCCGTTGTTGTATTTTCTCGTCGTCGCTGCGTACTATTACTATTACTATTTTTTTTTATCGTACCGCACAGACATCATAACGTTACGTTGATTTTTATGCGTCTTTTTGACCGGAGTGGCCGCCGTCGTCGGTTTTACGATGGCTGGCTTTCGTATAAATATTATTACAGGCACGCGGGTATGCATCGTCGCGGCAGCAGACGTCGCAAATCCGTCAACGAAACGCGCCCGCCCGATCACCGGTCGTTCGTATATCCCAGTGCGGTCCAAGTTTCGCAGTGCCTATTCCGAAAATTCTTCCCGACTACCCGCGAGAAAATCGACGAGGCGTGAAAATCAAATTACTCTCGTGTGTATAACATCTCGTACAGGGGACCCGGTCTCCTGCGAATTTCTCCGCCTTCCCATAAGACCTTTCGTCAAAGTATTTATCATATTTTCAATTAACGTTAAAAATCAGTTTTTTTTTTTTTATGACGTTAACTGGATTCCGTTCTGTTATCACACTCGTCATTTCGCGTTGTGATGAGTTCGTTTTGGATCTCGGCATTAAGTCGTCTGCTAGTCCTGACCCGAATTGTGTCGGGCTCTGTTATGCGGTTGGCTTAAGATATTAGGATCAAACCTTAATGATATTGCTGTCCTGGCAAGAGCGCACATCTTCCCGGTTTCCCGCCCGCGCCAGAGGAACGTACGCCCGCAGATAGCAGATCGGCTCTCTTTTTTTCTTTTTTTTTTTACTCGTTCTCCGCGGGGCGACGAAAATAATTTACCTTCGTAACTATCGTAAATATTCGACGGGCGAACGAAAACGACGCTCGTATTTTCCAGTCTCTGTACGTTTACAACGGGACGATTTATTAATTTTTTCCGTCCGTCTCGTTTCGATAGAACAATAATTGAAAACATCAATCCACCGCCGTAGACGGACCGCGTGAGCTCCACTCGCGAGACGACGTGTTTATCACGCCCCGTCGTTACGCATGCGCGACGGTCGATTATTATTGCACCGCACGCGGTAATCGATTCTCGTTACACTACCGCGCGGTCGCGGCAGCACGGTAGCCGTCGCCGCACGCGCCGAGCCCAGGAACTCGAGTACCTTATAGTAAGACGCTCGCGTTACAGGCGGTCCCGCGCACACGACTTCTTCTATTTGTTAGCGCGATCGCGTCACGGCCCTGCAGACTCCCGCGGTGATCCATTGCTTTCCGCCGTTCGCATTTATCCCGTCGAGCGAGCACTCCGTCTCCGGTATGTATACCCGCCGCCGTATCAGTCGTCGGGCCTGTTATCTCCGTCTGTTTACGTTCCACGCGCCCACGTCGTATTTCTGCGGGTCCGTCGCGAGTAAAACGGTTAAACGTGTTTCACTGAAAAACAGAACTCATGCGGCCCCGCGCGACGCATTAGCCGTATAATTTTCCATTTCCAGGGGACGGGATAGGGGTTTGATCCCCCGGAACGCACATGTGTGTGCGCGCCTGTCCCGATAAAACTCGAGTTGCTACTTTTGTTCTCCTCCGGTTCGTCTCTACGCGGATTTTTCGTTTTCTCGTGTCTCAACAATTGTCCGCCAAACTTCACGACACAAACGCCGAAATCGTGTCATTGGTACGTCATTGGGAGCGAATATCGAATTGTTGTTTTTTTTTTTTTTTTTCAAAATTCAATTTTTCGGGTTTTTTTTTGGAGATGCCGGGCGGAGTAGCTACAGTAACACGTTATAATATTTTTCTGTACACATTTCAACTCTCACTATCCTTGGATACTCCAAGGTACAACGTATTGCAAGTGAGATATGATTATATAAAAAACGATTACGGCTACAAACCGAAAATACCACTACTGAGCGTGCCTTACAAACTCTTATTACAATTGAATAACTCCCCAC